TCAGCCGATGGCCAACAAACTAGAATCCACATGAACTCCATCAGTCGCCTGCAAGAACTTATACATCCCCTAGTACTTGATGACCGCATGCCCGAAATCGAGCAGACACAATCAATGAATAAGAGCTTCAAACCAAAAAAAAACGACATTTTTTCGAGTCAGTAAGCTTAATTATCTATAAATAAGCTATAAACAGATTAAAGATATACTCTGCTATCGTTTCGCATAATATCTGTATTTGAAAGACTTTGACCTGGGACTGATTGGAGGAAGAAGCGCAAGCGATTGTCTGTCGCTCGTTACAATTAGGTTCTTTGTCCATTGAGCTCTTTCCTCCAGATCCTTTAAAAAATACCTCACACATCTGCAATAACGGAAAACATTAGACGCCTTCTATCACCAGCCTGATCGCGCGCTATCGATTTGCACGATCCTTTGCTTCTCGACAGAGACGCTGTACCTACGGCGGCGTCAACAGTGAAATAAATATTGATTATATTCGTGGCCTGGCCCTCGTGTTTCGTCTTGTATGTATGTAATAGTGTTTACCTGATCGGGTTGTTCTGATAGACGAGCGAAAAGCGACCCTGTGTACCACATGTGCAGGTCTGACTATGGACGACTGACTTACTGCTTCTGCTGCCGCCGCCGCCGCCGCCGCCGTTGTCGTTATTTTACCAATAATGGCGGTAGTCGAAACAACGGCAGAGGAACGAAACAACTGCGTATGGCCCTTCTGCCCGTCTGATTCATTCGGTGCGACGAGTAGCGGCGTTTTAAAGCTACGTTACTCTAGAAGGAGCAGCTAAGCAGAAGTTAAAAACGAGGAGAACGATCGTTGTACTGTCGTGTAATGCGATGTCATGATCCTGTCATTTTTCTTGTTGTTGTTCAAGTTTACCCGGTCTTTTTGCTTGTTACCACAGCAAATGGAGCTAGCAGTGCAGCTTTATTGCAATGGCTATCAGTAAAAAGTCCACGATCATAGATAATTGCAAAGCAACAATAACTTATCGGTCCTGCTCTCGTAGCAGCTGCTGTGGACGTCTCGTTTTCGTTTCAGCTCGTCTACAGCAATGGCGAGGTGCTGTGATGTTGGCTGGTAGCAGCAACAGAAAGTGACCTTATCGGTGCTGTGATTTGTAAATTGCTATCTCCCTCTACGTATTATCATCTATGGCGTCGTCATCGTCCTCGATACGTGCATCGGAAGTACACGAGTTCACCTATCCGTCTCAGGTGCAGTGATATATATGCAGGTATATCCGTGTGGCCATTACCGCGGTCATACTATACGGTGAGATCTAGTTACGATGACGGCCTGTCGGCGCGTAACGGCGGTCGGCCGCGTGGCACACACAGGTATATACACCAATAGACACAAACACTGCAACAATGACGATGACGCCAACCAACACGTCTTCTAGTGCTGCTGTTGTTGAAAAGGTGAAGTGAGCAGCAGCAGCAGCAGCAGCAGCAACAACAACAACAATGATCACATAAAAAACAACTAAAAAAATAGTGGCGGTCTCCGCTGTATAAAATTTCTCCAACGGTTAACCCACAATTGCAAAGATACTCATCATCTCGCACGGAATTTTCCCACCGCCACACACATAAACATAAACACAGACAAACACACAGTTGTTCTTTGTTGTTGTTGTTGTTTGCCGCATACGCGAGCTGGGATACGATTTCTTACAGAGCACAACTCGCCCAGAAATCTGTTTCGTCCATCTCTTCTTGTTTTTATTGTGACGCATTCATAGGTAGGGAACATACTATCATCGTATGTGTGCGAGGTGTCTTATAAAAGCGACTATAATTATGATAACTAGGAACACCATTACGGTACAGTGATTAGAAAGCATCCAATTGATGTCCGCTGAAGCTGTTTATCACTGCACATGGGTAAAATAGCGAGGCAAAGAACAGGATCTGTTCTTTATTTAGCTGATCTGTGCTCAGTCGGCAAAGGCTGACGCAGATGGGAAAGACAAGGTTTAAATGGCGATATTTCACCAGAGGAAAAATCATCTTAATTCTAATATGTTCACCTTCAAAAATTCACAACTTTTGTCGCAATAAGAAGCAAGTTGAAGAGCTATCTATCCACATGCTTCGATAGTTAATTGCATTTTCAAGGTAAAACGTACATCCTTAAGGAAGGGTCACACCACTTATACCATAGTAGTATATTAATTGATTGGTGCTAACTGACGTTTACCTATCTCATGACCACGGGGCATAGTATTAGCAAATATCTACGACTATCAGATCGTAATAACGCGCTGGATAGCATCGTATAATCGGTCGGCCACTTACGGATAAAGAGGATTTTTTTCCGGACGAAGTAATTGTTTCGAACTAATTCGGTGATACACGAATGAGGTCAAAGGTCTCTTCCGATTAATCGCCATGTACAAACAACAAATATTTAATCTGTACTGGTTGTTTTTACTGTATGATATAGTGTGGTCTAGTGTAGTATGGTCGTAGTGAGACGATCGTTTACGCACGATTCTGTCTGGCTTCGGCTATTAACAGCTGTCCATACATGCAAACACCGTTGTTTTTTTTTCTGTTCTTCGTACAATAGCATTTATAACAAGCAGATTTTATCTATAAGTTGTCGGGGCTTGTTTTCAGAATGTTTTCAGAAAAAACAACTATGTACCGGTAGTAGGCAGAATTGATGTTTACATTTAGGAATGAGCTTTAATTGAACGCTGCTTAATCGAAGACACATGGCCTATTCAATAGGGCGTTGACATTTCTAGATGACACAATGCTATTTTCAATGCCAATCAGTCAAGAAGCTTCGTACAAAAACACCAAATAGCAGAGCTGGCATGCAAAGTGAGTCGGATGTGCTTTCAGCCAACAAGTAGCCGAGTACCCGTGCTGTTTACGGCTATAGAATAATAGTTAATAAATGCATGGCTGAATTTCTCATAGTCTCACAGTTATTTACGATATATCGTCCCAGCACGCCCTTTATTTAATCGAAACACATCGCCTATGTTATCATTGCCAATGCCAATCTTGTATAAGGTTTAACCTTAAAAAGTAGCTGAAATCAGCCTGTCCTTACTTGGCTTAGAAGCGGATGGCGTACACTGTGCAAAACAACAATGGCTGGCCAACAATTTCCCCTACCTCCTCTCGTTTTGTAGCCTTGTCCGTGTTTGTGGCCCTACGACATAAGCGAACGAGTCGACAATCGTACGCTGTTTCACCCGCCCCTCTTCAATTACAGCAAAGCGTTTTAATCATCGTGTTAATCAATGGTATCGGCGAGACCATTTCCCGCGTACACTTTCTGCTTGTTCGAGATCCGCATTAAACATTCGATAGCTACAATAAGAAGTATGGTCATTGTGACGACGATAGGTACGCTGACGATGGTGGTCATTGAGTTTTATCAGTGCAGAGTCAGCACATAGAAAGCCAAATTGTAAGCTAGTAGATACACAAAACGTCGTAAAAAACTAGCTTAGTGGAGCAGATGCCGTCTAGCAGATACGTAGACAGGGGGGCATACGGCCTGAGAGGGCTCTATAGCAGTTTTTCTGGGACGGTTTCGGCTCGAGTGGCTATCCACTTACTCAACCCCATTGGAGAAAGAAGCGGCGGCTAGTTGATGTTAAATGGCATCAATCGTGAAACAAGTATTTCTAACAACAACAACGATCAGGCAATGCCAAAATAGACGAAAGGGCGCACAGCTCGTTCTGCATGGATAGGTGTCCTCCTAATCAACTGCGTAAATGAGCCAACGGGAAGGTTGGCTAACGGCGGGGTGGAAGCGGCAGTAATTGCCAAACTGTTATAAGTATACTATCAAAAAGAAGAAAAGTCGGGGGAAAATGAAATCATTCAGTTATAGTAATAATAACTTGCTGTGCTACTCAATCATATTGCTATCAGGAAGTTAAACTGCGCGAGTTAATTATTACGTAAAATGATTTATTTATAGTGCCATTATATAAGCACTGCGTACGAGCCGTTTGTTGCTTGTAACGTGGTTCTGAGGTAATATTCCAGTTGTTCCATTGGTATTATTATTATCATCATATGCTGGTATATAACCCCCTTAGGTGGCAAGTACGCACAGCTTTTGCCGTTGTGCTGTTGCGGCCAAACAGAGGGAATCAAATCCGCGAAATAAGAAAGCAGTTTGGCGCTGTTACACTTTTCGCTTGAAGACGAAGCGAGCGAAGACGCGATCCCGATCGCTGTTGTCCTGCCGGCCTTTGTTACAATCATTTCAGCAGTAATGAAGCATCTTACGTAAAAAGTTGCTTTCCCCCACTACAAAAACATCAAGAGTTGCGGCAGCAGCAACAACAACAACGACAACGACTCTGCCCACGGCAGGAGCAACCCTACGGTAATAAAGGTCATAGGCAGTAAGGACAGGGGCCTCCGGCGACCCTTGAAACCGTTGCGGCAATATTCTTTACACAGAAACAACGAACGAACGCAGACAAGTTGAAATGAAGTACCGCACAACAGTGCCGCCGTCGCCTGTTTCAACAATGACCCCCCTCCGCAAAAAACGCTCCGTCTAAACTTACAAATGACGAAGACAAATAAAAAACGAATTAACGATAATAACGAGCAGAGTGAATTAAAGGCAAAACAAAAAAAGACAAATTATGGAAACGCAATAGTTCGCGCCACCCGTTATTGAAAACACACGTTTTGTAACAATATTTATAAGAACTAGGAAATGTGCGTTCTGGCAAGTGACAAGTGTGTACTATATTTACTAGATATACCGAGTACAGCAGTCGAGGGAAGAGATAAAACGGAAGACACACAGCGTACATGACACTGACGACACAAACCAGAATGCAAAGATATAATTAATATTGAACAATTTAAAGCATTGGCATAAATAGTTTTTAAGATTCATATTTTAATTGAGTATCGTTTAACTAAGCTGTATAATTCTGTCCTTTGTTTTCCGGTTTTTTGGCATCCTGCAATATCAGTCACACGTGATAGATGGTGAAAGTTGTTGCCCATATGAGCCAGTGTACTGCGAGAGCAAATGCGGAATGAGGATACCCCGAAAATTAGCTAGTGAGCATCTTCGGGCCGAATGTGTGAATAGGCTTACTGCGTGTCCTTTCTGCGGCTACGATTTTGTCTTCGATACGCTCAAGGTAAGACGCCTTCCAGCTACAATGAGAATCATGCCAAACCTAACGAGTCGCCAATTCAACTCACAGAGAACGAATCAGGGTCGCCTCCCACTGGCATTATTTAATAATACTACTTAGCACTTACATACAGATCAACTATAATGACGATGAATCGTGCGGCTGGTCGAAATGACCCTAGATACATCCTAGGCTCTGGATAAAAAGCTCTTACTGTACTTTCGCAATGATAATTCAACTTCATATAGACAAGGTGCAAAGGTTGTCCAATGAATGAAAGTCACAAGTGTTGCTTCATTTTTCCAAGGGTTCGATGGGCTACAATTACGACAAAAGTACCGTCTGACCGCATTACATATAACGAACTCTAATTCATTTCCACCGAAGTGACCAGCAAGCAGTATTCATAAGCCTAAATAAAACGATGACGTTATAATCAATGCTTCCTGATGTATTTCGTTTTTTCAATGTTTAGAAACACATCCCAGCATGTCCACGATTTGTGGCAGATCACGTTCACAAGCAGCAGCAACAGCAACAGCAACAACAACAACTTCAACATGTTGAAGCTGTACCGGTAACTCACATCACCTCAAAAACGACCCGTGACCTTCATCTGAATAATAATAACCACACAAATGGAAAACTGCCACTTTTGAATCCAATGCTGCCGTGCGTGTTTAAGGATATTGGATGCAAATTTAAGGTATAAATCGCCCATATTAGTAAAAATATAGCCGAAATAGGTATATATTTTGATTTGTCGTCTCCTGCCGTGATTCGCCTTATTCGACAACGAGTTGGTTGGACAATTGAGACCAACAACATGTCTACCAGGTTCTAATTCAGGTTGCCATTGTGCCTTACCATCGCCATTGCAGGGGAGCGCGCCAGCACTCGATCAGCACTTGGAAAGCTCGTCTAGGAGTCATTTGGCACTTACGTGCCAGATCGTTTCCCGACAACAGGCACAAATCTCTGCATTGAGGTATTATTACTTGAAAAATTAGGTAAAACTGACGCGCTATACACGGCAGGTGTGATTAAACCATAAAGAACCATACAAGTGTAGTATATTAATTGATATATTGTACGTCAATTATTACTACAAAGGGTACTTTTCCACGGAGTTCAGTCTTTTGGTACTATTTCTTTTTGTGCCACTGCATACCATACAAAGATGTCCGTTTAAAACTTTAATGTCGTTGACTGCGCTTCGCAGGTCCGCTCTCCATAACGTAACATTGAATACAACGGGCACGATGCTATGGAAGGTGACGGACTTCTATGCAAAGTTGGGCGATGCCAGAGCCAAAGAGGGGTAAATTCGAGTCAAACCTTTCTCTGAAAAAAAAGTTTATGAATCAATAAATTAGGAAGAGTTCCCATACTCATTTTTAGAATCAAAATTTTTAGAATACAAATATACACTTTTTAAGAGTATATATTCGTTAATTCTGCCTACCCAGTGATTAAATCCTATATACCTATATTAGCGATTATTATGTACCGCACAATCGGTAATAGTAAAAGTCGTCATTTGATAATTACATTTTACCCAAATATTTAAGTTCTTGTTATTGTTTTTTTTTTTTTTTGTGTAAATCACTGCCACGAACTATGTTCCGCTTAGGTACGAAGTTTGTTCTCCGCCGTTTATGACGTCAGCACATGGATATAAATTGCAAGCAAGTCTTTTTCTTAACGGCAATGGCTCAGGAGAAGGAAGTCACCTATCAGTGTATATAAAAATTCTACCAGGTATGTATAATCCTAGAATTGGTCTATCTTCAATATTAGAATACTTAACTTAGTGTTTGTTGAGATTATTTTTGGCAGAATCAACATTTCCTCCGAACCTTCGCACTTACTCTTCAATTTTGCGGTCGTTAAGTTGTAGTTATTTGCACTCTGTAAATGTATTCCAATAAACATTTGTGTCTATATTTATAGCTTGCAGACGACAATTTTTCACTTACTTACATCAAGTCGTTTTAATCTATCTAGATTTTGCCGGAAATGTGACGACGTTTTAATAATTAACAATAACTTAAGTAACTTTCAATCTCAAATCCAGTCGATCTGACAACTGAACAAAGTTGGGTTAATTCGTTTTCCTTTTTTTGACTTGTAGGCGAATTCGATTCTTTATTGCGTTGGCCTTTTTCATTGACTGTATCATTCACTCTCATAGATCAACCCCTAAACCCGGATAAGGTACGTTTGAACATCTTTCCGTCCGACACTTTGTAACACATGTGTAAAGGGTGAAGTCTCAGATATATTTCCAATGTATCGATGTGTCTGGTTTCAGGCCTGTCACATCATCGAGTCATTCGTGCCAGACCCAACGTGGAAAAACTTTCAGCGACCGTCGAAGGAGCCAGATGCCCTTGGTTTCGGTTTTCCGCGCTTCGTTTCCCATGAAATGCTCAAGAAATGTCATTACCTTCGCGATGGCACGCTCTTCATACGCGTCAAAGTCGATGAAAGCAAAATTATTGCTGTTTAGTAAATGGCCATTCATCGATATTAATTTCATTTTATTATCATTTATTTATCCTATCGTAAACGTAATTCATTAAATAATGCCCTAGCGGTTCGATGCATTCACAACAGTGAATGATTACTTCCTGACTAACTCCAAGATAGTTCGCCAAAAAAAAAGTATATATATATATATGAATACAATTTTCTGAAATGAAAATTATAAAATGTTTCTATCGAAGCTTGATAGTTGTTAAACTCTAGTAAGTTATATACGATCGCGTATGAAGAAAGCAGAAGCACGTATTTACTTTAGTACTATGTAACCTTTAAGCTACCTTCAGAATCAATTGAAACACGAAACATAGCAACTATATTACCTAACCTAATCTAATCTATAGTGAAAACCCTTTGTCGACAGAAGATGGTTCAATTTTATTTTTTCATATCAATCATTATTATAATCCAGTAACTTACGCACTGGTGTAATGTCACTTCTCATGAGGAGTAAAGCACTTCATTAGAATGAACCTCACACACTCTGAAATATTATTGGTTCCCTAAGCCTAACTATTTTAAACTATTATAAATTAAAGATTGCTTACCGATGCGTCCATAGAGTAAAAATAAAACTGCGGGTTGACATCCCAAAAGGGCAACCGTAAGTGAGTAAAAACACACACACATAGATACATATATATATATATCTGTAATACTAATAGCAGTGTCTACTAAATCATTAATATGTGTATCAACTCTGTATTATAATGCTGCTCAACCAAAGCCTGTGTACATTCCGTAGTTGACTCTAGACAGAGGTTTATTTGTGGAAACCATCGATAAAAGCGATGATTACAATGGAATTACATTAGAATAAAAAAAAAAACAACTATTATATCTGAGGTAATCATTGTTGTGCTAATTTGACGGTTTAAAATCACATTGACGACAATGACGGTACTATAGATAGTCAGTACAGTCATAATTGACTGCAGGTAACCATTATGATTTGAACTCAATTCTTCTATCGTATGGAGATATATGCTTGGTTTCACCAAGCATATATCTCCATACAGGTACAGGTCCTCTTGGTAACAGGACAGAGTAACCATAAGGTGTATTATCAATCACTGTAAAAATAATTGACAACGAGTTGTTTCTATAACGTACTTGGCATGATGAAAAACACAACTCATATCGCCAATGTACAGCCACTTCAGCATGCACCGACTCTCAAAACGTGCCTCGACCGTGCTATCAAGTCGTTTTGTTACATGAGTAGAATTACTCCAACTTACCAACTTAGAAACCTGTACGTTCACAACATTGGCTGTTGGCAATGCCTCCTGTTTTTTTTTTTGCAAACTGCTTAAGTTTTAGTTTGTCAGTGAAGATAATTTCTAGAAAAAAGTAAGCTCAGTGATAAAAAAAACCAATACGGATTCAGTACAGGTCGAGATACAAAAGGCGTGACTCTCATGGTTAGACCTTTTTGGCTGACCAACGAAAAGTGACTGAAAAGCAACTGCGACCGATGACACATCGGGATCGGTTCTCGAATCTGCTCCCTTTTGCATATATGTATGCACCCAATGTATATATATATATATATATATCGGGTGGTCGATCGTTTTTGATATTGATAATTTTTGAGCCAAAAAAAAGCTAATAGTTTTTTCTTTAATTTAAAATAATATTAATAAACTAAATATATTCATCTTCATTGACGACCTTTCTCCATTTTTTTTCTAATATCACTAGAACTCTACAATAATTTTTTTTGTTAATTTGGACAAAAAAATTGTGACAAATAAAGTTTATGTATCCCTCCATTGGAACTAACACCAGTAAGCAAGTTTCGCAGAGACCGCAACGGATGATGGGCTGATAGTGTAGTACTCGGGCTTTAGAACAGATCTACTATATTTTTCCATCTAAGTTTGGTCAACATTTTTGTGATAGCTACAAGTGCCTGGAACTCATAGTGGAACACGACGCCCTTGATGTTTTAGCTGCGGCCAATTTCGGCAAATGACTTGTTGGTTGTTGACAGTAACAGGCATGAACAACTCATTTTGCCACAGTCTACAATGCATGATTTGCTTCCAATCCTATTTTTTTCGCACGTGACTGTCGTATATGATTTATTTTCCGCCTTAGTAATAGCTCGATTTCGTCGCTTTTCTCTAGAGTTTCAAATTAATGTACAGTCGAGTAAATTATTTCGCATCGATTCGTATGGTGCCCAGATATTGAGCTCTTTTTGTAGCCAGCTGTCTTCATATAATTGGAAATTGTTTGGTGGTGCTTATTTAGTTTTTTTGACGATGTTATAGCTGCTCACACGTCGGTCTCGCTGAACCCTTGTAATAATTTTGTTAGCCGTTTTCGTAATTTTTCGACTATATACTATTACAAGGAACACTGAAACTTACAGAAGAATTTTTCACTCAGTTTTCAGGAATGAAAACGTTTCATGACCATAAATAACAGAATTTTTTTTAATGGCCTGAGCAACATTTGTATCTTAATCGCACCAAAATCGTAAAATGCGGCGTATTAGCAAACATTTTGCTTATCTTCAAGGAAATTTCGTCTGATCGAGATTGTACAACTTACTGATGACATGTTCCTCCTTATTACAAGTAACACAAAAAATAAACTGAGAAACAGGGTCACTAGACCTCTAAAACCTGAAAGCTAACTCACGAGAACTACCCAGGTTGATTTAGGTGTCGACTGCCATAAATGAACGTTTTCCCAGGTAGTAAACAATAATCTAGGTGTTGTCGCTTTTAAGCCCACGTATGATTTAAGGGGTAATTATTTACGGTGACACTGCCCAGCTGCATCATTTACTTACCGTACAAAACACGACTGTGATTTTCCGTATATAGAAAAGATCAGTAACTGACTATTTTTTTGTACTTTTTCAAAGCTAATTTCGAATAGAACATATATATTCAATATGTACAGAGTAAGTCCGACACGAATTGAGTAACATATCTTTAATCGACCCTCGTAAAAAATTTAAATGTTATTTATACAATCACACATTTTATATAGTATACCTTTATTCAAGTTAAGACTCTAGTCATTGTCTAGAAAGAGAGAGAAAAGAGAGAAAAAAAAAAGAGTCTAGAAAATGCCTTCAGAATACGACAGCTACGTAGCAGTAAGACTATTTGGTAATCGAAAGTCCTCATTTCTGTAGTTGATGCACACATAACGCTGTCATTTATAAAACTAAATATTTCTAAAAGCTTCATGACCATCAATAAGACTTGCTTTAACGCAACTGAAAAGTCTACCCACCATCTTATTAAACTACGCATCATCAACACAAGCTTAGTAGTTCCTAAGCTTCTAAACATCAAACGAGTACATTGCATAACAGAATATTTCTTAAACAGCATAAAAATTCATTGTCTTCTTCTACACTTTGTCACAATTATTCACGTAGGCTTAGCCAATAAAAAGCCAGTTATTTAGACCACCAATATATATATATATATATATATATTGATTATCATCAATTCACCCTGACAAAGGGTTTTTACAGCTTTTCCACGGACAGAATATACTCTTATTATTTAAGGTAGTTCAATAAATTTTAGCATATTTAAACTTATTATATACTTGTCATGTATATTCTTCTTAAATCTAAGGAGACATTCACAATATGAAATATCCGTTGGTGGTCTTTGGCGTCGGTTTGTTCAAATAGTCGGGATGTGTATATGGTATCACTTGAGTTAAAAAACCAAACTTCTAAGAATAGATATTGCAAGTTATTTACTAAATAATTCGTATCAACTTCACAGATTAAAATCTTCCCTCACTTGCATCAATTAGAAGTCCTCGTTAAGGAAATTCTTTCGAAGTTCTTTGATTTCTCATTCTTATGCCATTTAGCAACACTGGATTCTCCCAGTTGCCTCTATATTTTTGTCCAACTAATAGCGCCGACTTTTTGTCTGAGATTTTGTGTAATAGTAACAACGGCTTCGCTTACTAAAAGAATCACTTTGCATATAACACAGTAGACAAATCTGAGCAACCCTTTTCTCAAAAAAGATTTCTACTGGCGAGTTATTACCAATTTGCTGATCTTATACTATACATGCGATACTTTCGCGCTACACTACTTGCTAATAGAGCTGAAAGATACATTTGTATATATACGTAATAATCGTCTTCTGTATCCTTCAAAATATCCTTTTCATAATAAACTTACTAAAATACAAACACTTGGAATTCCCAATTCATTTTACGTATAACTATACGTACACCGTACGAATATGTAGAACAATCGTCACCACTTTTCACATCTAAACGGTAAGGTTTGTCTGTTTCCTACGTGTTGGGTCAAAAAATCACTCATTTTCACTTAACAAACTATTTTTGTTATCGTTTTGAGCAAGTAAAACGAAGACCTCTATAAATTATAAATTCTTTTGCCACACAATTTACCTCAGAAGCTTTTCCAATGCGCTGATGAATGTTTTCTATTTCCATAGGGGATGTCTTTTATCCACAAATGCTTCCAGTCCCTCACGACCGTTATCCAATTGCAGATTATCTGTCATTATTCTTGCTGCCAATTCATAGCGATCTTCCTCGGCTTTTATTGCTCTTTGATCATTAAGGAAACGTTTTCCTAACGTTATCACATCCCGGGGTTTGTCTACAATATCCTTCACAAGTTGCGTCACAAGCTTTTCTAATTGTTGGTCAGATTCGGCGCAATGCGACACAAGGCCGCAGGCCAATGCTTGTTGAGCATCTATGGGTCTTGCCGAATACAACATGTACGCGGCAGTCTTGGCATTGATGTTGCGCACTACAGGTACAGACGGTGCAGAACAAAACAGGCCCACTGAAGCACCTGGCAATGAGAATCGTGCCTGCGGCCCAGCAATCGCCATATCACATGCAGCAACTAATTGGCATCCAGCTGCTGCCGCCAAACCGGTTACCGAGGCGATAACAGGAACTTCGAGATTGCGAAGTGACACCATCAACTTTCCAAAACGCGAAAACAGTTCGTATTGCTGCACTGCAGATAACGATTTAAGTTCGTGAAGGTCATGTCCGGCACTGAAAACTGGCCCCTCAGAAGAAATGACGACCGCCCGAACTTCAGGAGACCGAGTGAGTTTCAAACCTTTTTCAAGCTCTTGAAGTGCCGCTGAAGACAACGGGTTACGTTTGGTGGCATTGCTGAGTATCAGCCGTAGCGCAGCTCCATGTAGGCTGCTCGATACAGATGGCATGACAAGTTTGTTGACAAGCACCTGCTTGTTAGAAACAGCCGAACGGAACAGGAGTATATAAGGGTCAATACTGATGTCTGAGAGCTACGTGAGTTTTGTGAATCCCTTTTAGTAGTTCAATCAGTGATGAACAATCGAGTCTCGAATCTTTCGTGATAACCAAACGTTGAACTATTGTCGGTAGTGAACACGAGACACGACACTTTGAAAACAACCAGCATTTACCGGCTCCCTTGAAGAGATTAAATGTAACACAGGGGCATCACACAGACAAATCAAGCTGGTGAACAAACAGCTGACAGCAACGAGCTCGCTTGTCACGTGGATAGTGGATTTCGTCTATAATTTCTAGTCTATAAGGCGGGAAGTAAGAAAATTGTTTGTAAAGGAACAAATATTGTTTATTCTTCAAGTTTTTAACGGATAATCGAAAACATTTTTAACATACCGTTACTGTAAGCGACAATGGTAAGACTCCTTATGTTTCACAGGGTAATAAAATGAGAGAAGGCAACGAAAAACAGATATTGGAAATTCAATATATATTTACATTAGTTCTTACTGTACTTATTTAACAGAATAGATATGCAGACTTCCTCGTCATTCGGTTTCAACGGCTTTTATTTATAGTAAAGTATGCATATCCTGCTATGCAAAAAAAACTCCACTTTTCAGGGGATCCATTGGGTACTTCCGAGAGAATGTGATCATTTTCTAATTGCAAAGAACTTTATCCGTTCGAGATTTTTTTTGTGTTTTTGATTGCTTTTGATTGCATTCTTATTCAGATTATGCAGACTTATTCTCATGCCACTTTCACATCTATTGTTGTTGGATTAAAAATTATTGTTGAGAAAACACGCAATTTATTTAAACATAATAACTAAATCACTACATCAGGCAGCTTCCTTCAATAAAGTTTCCTGTTGAATTATATCGTATACGATTCTTGAAATACAAGCAAGTTGTTGTAGCGACGGTGAACGTATCAGTTTTGTTGGAACTATTACGTTATTTTATGACATTCAACGAAGCTTCTCTAGCGCTTTATTCAGGCTTCTATGTCTGCCAAGGGGAGTGGTTCGGGTACAGCAATCGTACAGAGAAACCTCGAACAGTGTTGGAAGACTCATCCGTGTTTCGTTTGTGTCGAAAAGAAATCGAATGTTCTTTGAGGTTCGATCGAATATACTATTGAGACTTTTGGAGTGGTTGTCTGGATATCAGTTGAGTTTGTTCTGTCGTTATTCCTGGTCAAACCTATTGAACGAAAGATTTAATGATTCTAATTGGGGTTCCACTTTAGTGCAGTGTTTTTGTTCAAAACCTTCGTGATAGCAAATGTCTGTCGAGAGCGGTCAGTAAGCCTATGCCTTAAAAACTCTGTTTAGTATTATAAATTGCTATGTTAGCTTAAATAGACTAATCTGTACTTCTAGTTCAAGAACTGCCGTATAAATGTCAGTCCATGGCGCTATTATGTGGAAAAGTAATTTTTGACCGTCTTTTATCTAGATTTATTTAAATTAGAAGATTTCTCATGCAAATCTCTGTTAGAGATATATCACAAATAATTATTATTGTCACTCGGGCGGTGCTGCAGTATAACATCAACTAACATATTCAAAAAGAAAACAACTTATTTCTGTCAGTGTCTTTCACTGGTGGTTGATATAGAGCTTAATTAAACTACTATAACAGCAAATGCTATTACAAAAGCTTTGATTTCGAGTGGCCCAAATTTAAGCACAAAATAAGCAGTTTTCAAGTTGCAATTGAAAGTTTCCACGGCCAAGATTTCTACGGCTCTAACTTCTGCGGCAGATGTCTATATTTATCGATATAGAGCAGCCGTATGGGAAATTATTTTTCGCGTTACTCTCTTCGTAGACAAAAGCGGTGTTTTAAGTTTTTTCTCACTGGAAGTGTAAGAAAAGGCGATAATAGCCTTAAACACAGCTGTTTCTTATTCCAGCAAAAGACCGCCCTGTAATCACGTGTGAATAGCCCGAGATTATTTTAAGTCATACGGGATTAATAAAATTCGATCCATGAAAACGGAAGTATTAA